CCTAAATGTAATGACTTTTAATTAAGAATATGTAAACCGACTTCCAAGCATTTTTAGCTTTCTAGTTATTTTTGGAAGTTGGTACCCCTCAATCTGTTTAACATAAATAAGGTATCAAATTAGAAAATAATGTTATAATGGGTACAAATAAAAGTTCTTCTATACTGCTGTATCATGTGATATCTACACAATTTGTGATTGGCTAAAATTGAATGTGTACTCGCTGTGAACACAAATAGTTAAAAAAATTCAACTTGTTTTACAATTGTGTACTCGCTTGTACTTAATTGCTGTGTGGAAAAAAAGTACTCACTAGTTCATTGGAGTGCTTTCAGGGATAGTGGAGAATGAACTAGTTTTAAAGCTTATATAACCAAACAAAAACAAACTGTTGTTGAACATTTTGATGGTTTTTGAATGTCTGATGACCAAGAAATGGTGGACATCAGGGCTAAAAATAACAGCTGGTCAGTAGCCAGTCATATGCTGACTGGCCAAATTAGTTTTACATAGGTCATACCTAATTACTGGCTCAATTAGTTACTCAGGTCAAAATGACTGCCAATTTTGGAAAGACATTTTCTAGCAGGGACATATATCTGCTGAGGTGCTATAAGTCAGTCTGTTTTATTTCTAACATGCTTAGGTATTTTGTTGTTATCATTGGATAAAGACACATACGAAGAGCTTGGACTGGTCGGAAAGCAGTCAATATTCCAGAACAAATTAAGATTTAGTAAGTAGTACTATTTTACCCCTGGATCCGCACTGTTTATATAACTTAGAAATCTGCAGTGGATTATTACTGATAGTGCAACATGCAAAAGTAGGTGCAGGCAGAGTTGGTTTGTGAGCAGCCTTCACCCAGGGGGGGGTTTAGCGATTTTACTCTGGAACAGGGTATATAAAATCGCGCTCGCTCTGGGACAGGGTATATGAAATACTCTCTCCTCTCTGGAAAAGGGTATCTATTTTCTCAATACAGGAACTGGGTATGGTTTTCAGCGATCTTGCTCTGGAACAGGGTATGAATTTCAGCAATTTTACTCTGGAACAGGGTCAGGGTTCAGAGGGCTCAGCGGCACATCCCAACCCTAAACGGGCAAGAGTACCCCCTGGCAGCCTTCAGAGCTAGAGGTCCATTATTCCATCCTCAGGATACTTGTTTGTTTTGACTTTTCTCTGTTCTGTATAGCTTTAGATTTAAATACCATTAGTATAAATACACAGGTTGGTGATCATTGAAAATCTCGCACGCTGATTGGTTGAGAAACTCAGATTATCACACGATAATTACCTCCAGTGATAAAAATGGTGGCCAGCTGCTTCATTGTTTAAAAATGTGTCTTTTATCTTCTTTTTTTTCTTTTTTTGAAAGAATCACCTGTGTATTTATACTAAAACAATTATTCACCTCAGGCTCAGTGAATATCGGGAATTAGCATATACCAACTTGTGTACTTCCTAAGAACACGCATGCTCATTGGTTAATTGGAGGTGAATATTGTACGATATTCACCTCTGAATCTTGGAATATTGAGTCAGCAACAAAATGGCATCTACCAGCAATCATTTTGCTACAATTTCAGATGAGGAAATTGAAAAAATGAAAGTAAATGCCATTCCTATCAATACTAAAAAGGCAACGAAGTATGGCCTAAAAGTTTTGCTAAAAGTTTTGCATGAATTTGTCATGCAAACTGCAAGTTTCTGTTTGTTTGTTTTTATTGAATTGTTGTATATAAAAATAAGTTACTCTGTACACAAGTTGGTACAGGAAAACAATTATTCGCCTCAGGCTAAGCGAATATGGAGAATATTTACCTCGCTGCTCAAAGACTTGCGTCTCAGTAAAATTAATATTCCCCGATATTCACTTCACCTTCGGCGAATAATTGCTAATAATAACCTCAACTTATTTTTATACTGGTATTTATTTTCTGACACTGAAGCTTAATTATTAACTATTAACTAATCCATGATCAAGTTATTGACATAACCTCTAGTAGTTAATGCTTTTATTGTATCTTTTTTATTAATTTTTGATAGTCGTTGAAATTGATTTAAAATCACCATCGTTCCATCCTGGGAAAAATCTTTATGAGAGGGTAAGATGGTGCTTAAAAGAGCATTTGGACTTGGAATTTGAATTTGTCTTCACTTGGACAGATACAGGTAAGTGAACAAGGAAGGTAGTCTGTTAATCTATCAGTAGAACTGCTGCCACCTAGTAGGTGACGACAACCGTGACCAAGAATTATTTATCATTAAAATTGCCATGTCTCCTGAAAACATTTGTCTGTGAAACGTGATCTTGGGTCAAGCCCTGAGATTTATCCACTGGGCCAGGTTGTACGAAGGGTGAATAGGGCTATCCAATGGTTAAATCCTTATCCATTGATAAGTCGATGCTGTTAGCCAATGAATTTATCCACTCTGGATATAAGATTTATCCATCAGATAGCGTTATCCATCCTTCATACAACCAGGCCCTGGAGTGTACAGATGCTAACTCACATGTTATCTTACTACCTTATCCAATTCTTTCTAGACAACAAACTAGACATCAAGGATATCCAATCCCACTTCAGGTTATATAAATGCTGTCCATTTAAAAATAAAGAAGATATAAGATCTCTAAGTAATGCAAGAATACCAGTTGTAAACTCTCAGGAAACACAGTTAACAGACAAAGATAACGACAACATAAGCTGTGCTGGTGCTAGTGGTTTCTATGAATGGCTTGGTAGCATTCACTGTGATATTGAGTGGTAAGTTTGAGAACTTTGTTAAATGTGGTAGTTGTGTTTGAATTAGTATATTAAGGAAATCGACCTCTTTTATTACCTTGGGTGTAATTTTGTCCCATTTCAGACTACTCCTCATTTCCTAGAGTATTATTTCTTTGTTTAATGGTTGCACATTTAGAAGACACCTGAATTTTGGTGAAAAAAAAAATTAAGCAAAGAATCTTATTTTCAAGTTTTGACATATGAAATGGGAAACCATTTATTTATTTACACCCAATCAATTGTGGTAAAGAGTTCGTATATTATTGTGCAGCCAATGGGCCAGCCCCTAGCCAATATTGACAAGAGTGTATCATTCACACTGAAAGGATTACCCCGTGTAACTAAAAATTATTTTGTAACTCCAGAAATTATCCCTACCCCACCCACATAATTTTTTTTTTTGATATCCCCACCCCACCCCCCAGAAATTCCAATTATCTCTCATACAAACTCTGTAATTTCGTTCTTTCTCTGTACACCCACCCCGCGGAAATTCCAAATCCCTCTTACAGGGGGGGGGGGGGGGGGGGGGGGAGGAGGGATCCAGGGGGGCTACTAGACCCCTCGCCTTTTACACAAATAAAATAATAATGATTTGAAAACATTAATCCAGATAAACTTTCAACTTGGTAAACATCATCTAAACAACCTTCATCTAGATATACTTAATTCCTGTCAATAGACCATGGCCATTTTCCAATTATTATTCTTTTGTTTGCCCCTACAGCAAAAGATTATCAAAGGGGATTAATTTTATTGACTTGCACGCCATAAACCATTTCAGACAATTAAATTTTTGTTCATTATTTGATTATCTTTTTATCTAGTTCATCGGGATCACCAGACAGTTATGTGTCAACATTTACCTGTCCAAATCCTTCAACAGTCTCTAAAGAAATGGTAAAATGTCAATGGACAGGTTTTATAACACCACAAAGAATCCTCAATTTACTAGAAGCATCAAGGTATGTCTGCAAAAGGAATATTAATGACATACAGAGCATTTTCACATGACATCACAGCTGCCATCTTGGCGTACCAAAACAATACATTTTCTACCCTTGGGGAATTGGACTCTATTTTTATGCTAAAACTGTGCAGGAAGTTTCTATTGTTTGGTACACTAATGTGGCTTGTCATTTGAGTGAAAATGCTCTATACTCAATTATAGTCACCAAAAACCTACAAATCTGAGATTGCTGAGGATCATTAGAATAACTAAACTTTCATTTCAAACAAGGTAAGCTTTTGATTCAAACTGAGGTCTGAAAATCCATCAATGCTTGTGACACGGTTGAAACATGTAAATTATATCTACCCATAATCCTCGATGGTCTCAGCTTTGGTAGTTTTCTAGTGACTAACGTTATTGAAATAAGTATATAGGACAATGTTCACACCATTGGGATACCTGTGTAATTCATAACACAGGTAGCCCACCTATCAGGGACTGAAAGTTTTAAAAACTTTGTAAACCTTGTCTAAGATTTTGGAATTCAACACCAAATTTCATTCCCTAGAGAATAATTGCATTTGTTTCTGATAATGCAAGAGGAACTAGACTTGGTCTTGAAAAAAACATAATTTACATTAAAAGAAATGGGGGCAGCAGAATCAACTTATCAAATGACAAGCAAAGTTTGTTGTGATGCAAAGGAACTACTTTTTGTGATGTGAGGTCTGCGTTGTTCAAACCACAGGGATTCCAGCTATCTGGGGGGTTAAGGGGGCCATCATTTCTTTAAGCAACACTTGGGAGAGGGTGCTATCAATATGGATAATAATTTCTGAAACTACTCAGTGCCCAACAAAATTGATGCACACCATTTGCACACTAAGTCACACGATTATTTATCACAACCTTTACATCATTCCTTAAGCGTCGCCTGAAAAGCCACCCTGGATAGCTCTAAATGTGTTTTACACACCATTTGCACACTATGTCACACGATTGTTTATCACAACCTTTAGATCATTCCTTCAGTGTTCACCTGAAAAGCCACCCTGGATAGCTCTAAATGTGTGGGGTTTTGCCGACACCCCTGTTAGTTGGCTCAAGAATGAGCATGGCTTCCACTATGAAGGAGACAACATGTACACTATGATCATCTTCCCCAGTGACATATACTGGTGCTACATGGCTCTTGGTAGCAACGATGTATGCTCATAAACTTTGTAAATAAAATAAAGGCATTCTCAAATCTTGAATCTGGTTATAAATTTTAGCTAATCAAATTTCATCACTACCTGTAAAATCCTGGTTATGATGATATGCCTTTCAGTTATGATCCCTCCCACTTATAAGTTCACTAATCTCCTAACGCAAATGTCTTTCCAATCATAAGCCCTCCCAATTGCCCTATTTCACTATGACGTCACATCGAGACAATCTATATATTGTTTAAATGCAAAGGATCATGATTGTCGGAGGGGGTCAAATCAACGCAATTTCACCGAAAATTGTTCTAAAACCCGTATCAATCTGCGAAGAGAAGTAGAATAGCCAGCAAATGCTCAGAATATCTTTTAGTACATATTAACACATATTATTTAACTGTTTCGCTAGGAGCAAATTTTGCTGAATTTTCTATTGGATTTGGCGATTCTATCCCCCACATAAACAAGCAGTGACGYCATAGTGAAATAGGGCAATTACTTAAATGTCTACTTACACAAATATTCCAACCCCCTCTCCCCCCATCACAATTATAAGCCCTCCCATTTTTTGGGTGCCTACATTGCTTTTAAAACATCTGTTCAGTCATTAAAATGCAAAGTCATAATAATTAATTTAAAAAACTATAATTAATTTTATTTTAGTAATAGTATTAATCATTTCTTTAATAACTAGACTAAGAGTAATTTACATGTCAATCAATCAAAAATTAAAAAGTATAAAAATTTTAATGAAGTATTTTAAGACTTCAGCTTAGAACAGTCCTTAAAATTTTTTACTTTTAACCACAAATAATAATTGTTAATTTCTCGCATGCTGATTGGCTATTTTTTGCAATCGATAAGAGGACAGACAAATAAGCCGATGTCAACAAGTGCCCTTTTTTTGGTTGTTTTGATCACTAAAAAACGTTGAAAAAATGCTTGTTAGTGAATTTTTTGTGGTAAACAAAATTGAGGTCCCTTTTCTATGGTCTACTCTGACTAACTTATCGAACATGCAATGGCGTCAGTATATGATCTCGCTGCACTCATGGTTCCACTAGAGTTTGGATCATATGCTGACATCATTCCATATTCGACAAGAGTACAGACCATAGGAAAGGGACCTTGATTTGCAATTAAAATTCATTACAGGGTAACAATGAAGTACATGTGTAATGGAGCATTATCAAGTGACATTGCAGCAACCATGTTGGTGCTGTACCAAAATCTATACATTTTCTATACTCCAGGAATTGAACTCTATTTTATGCAAAAACTATGCAGAACGTTTTTGTTCTTCAACATGGCTGTCTTCTCATGTGAGTGAAAACGCTGTAGATTGTGCATTTATAGTCATAATGAAATAGGGCAATATTGATTGTTGATTGCTGTTACAGTGAAAATTACTGTATATGGCGACCCACTATTTCAAAACTTTGGTTGGATTTTGTTTTTTCCTCTAGCTGCCAATCATCTTTGTGGGCGGGACATGAGCAAATAAATATACCTATCACTCAGCTTCGCCTCTTCACTAGTTCTCCAAATGATTTAGAGCTGAGATACTTTCAAGGAGTCCATTTCCCTAGGTCTTTTCCTGTCCTTTAAGATGAAATGATTTCTTTGCTGTGAATGTATGGTAGACAGATGTGAAGGAAGAGGGACATCTGCAGCTCCTGTTTTGCCAAGATTCTTGATTCCTTCAATCACACTTGGGCCCTCGAACTTGACTGTGCATTTAAAGGGGTTTTTGGTGATGTCTTGTTCTTTTGATCCCTTAAATCTAGTCTCCATCTGCAGAGAAAAAGAGAAAACAAATGAAAAATTTTTTTGTATGATTCTCCCCTCCCCCAAGAATCTTGTCAAAGTGCCTGTTCATATCTCTGGTTTCTGTAATGAAGTGATTAACACAGTTTTTGTGCTGAGGTAACCACTTAAAATTAAAGGACTATTCAAGGAGTATACAAGGACCCAAAAATGAATTTTCAAGGAATATGTTCAGCTGACTATGCCAAGGTTTTACGTGGTGGTTGCACAATCTTTCTGACTAGATCTAAGCAAAAATTCAAGTAGTTTTCAAGGAGTTTAGTTAAAATCGTAAAATTCAAGAGCTTTTCAAGTGCCCTTGAAAACGTGAATTAAATTCAAGGAGTTTTCAAGGAATTTAAGAAGTAGCACGAACCCTGTTAACACTGTTGGACAGACTGTTAATGATATCAATAATGGTACGGATACTCATTATGAGTCTATGAATAGCTAACTTATGAGGCTAGATGGTTATCAAAAACAGCTGCAGCAGTACATGCATGAAAACTTACGGTAAATTTTACTTTCTCCAAAACAGGCTGATCACATGAACCAAAAGCATTCTTCATCCATTTGTCTTTTTCCCCAATTTCTTCTTTATTTTCTTCTGTTATTTCAGACTCAACGATTACTTTTTCACCTTAATTTGTAAAAGAAGTTGAAATAAAATGGGTAAACCCTAGGCTACATGTATGCTGGGGTGGAGGGGTACTCACCCGGGGGAGGGAGGTACTCAAGCATTGCCTGTTTAGGGTAGGGATGTGCCGCTGAGCCCTGACCCTGTTCCAGAGTAAAATCACTGAAATTCATACCCTGTTCCAGAGCAAGATCGCTGAAAACCATACCCTGTGCCGGTATTGCAAAAATAGATACCCTGTTCCAGAGAGAAGAGAGCGTGATTTCATAATTACCCTGTCCCAGAGCGAGAGCGATTTTATATACCCTGTTCCAGAGTAGAATCGCTGAAAACCATACCCCGTTTGGCGGCACGTACCTGTATAGAAAATATAGGGGAGTACTCCCCCCTCCCCCTGGGGTACTCAAACCCATTTCGGATAGAGTGAAAAATCCATACCCTATTCAAGACAAATAAGAAATTGTATACCCTATATAAGGCACATCCGGACCCAGTGTTATAGGAATTTCAGATGCTTCACAAATTTTCTTTTTCTTTGAATTTTTATTCTCTCATGAGAAGAGTAAGACAATTGGTGCTAATTAACTGAACAAAAGAAAGTGTGTAAGGGAGTCTGGTAGTAGAGGTCAATAATGCCATCGTGCAAACGTCCTATTCAATTTAATGCTGGTTTTCAAGTCACTCCATAATGTAAGGTTACAGCAAATTAAAATATTTACCAGAATGTCTCCTCTTTCGTCTTGCAGAGTTTTCTTGACATAGAGGATTGGAATCCATTTTCTTTAGCCTGAATTCACTGAAATAACCCTTAGAATAGCAAGAATGAACCAATTGAACATAATAAATGTAATGTGTAGTTCCTGAAAATGTCCACATCCCCGCCATGGAGGTGTAATTTGTAAAAGGACCCCCCTACCCCCAGTAATTTTGTTCTTTCTCTGACCCTCCTTTTCAGAATTTCCAATTTCCTCTGTGGGTGAGGTATGAATATTTTCTGGAACTACACAATCATACATGTAGCAAAGGCTAACAAGGTTGTTATATATGGACTTTCTAATATCTTCTCTAATATATACCAATAAAATTGTATATTTCAAACATTTTTATTTATTAAAATGATTAGTTATATGGATATTGAATGGAATGGAAGGATGGATGAGTGAATGGATGGGTGGAATAACTGAATGAACGTGAATGGATGAATGGATGAGTAAATGGGAGGAGATGAATGACTAGATGGATGGATGTATGGATGGGTGGATGAATGGGAGGGTTGAATAATTAAATGGACATGGATAGATGAATGGATAGGATGGTTAAACAGGTGGAGATGAATGGGTAGATAAATGGGAAGATGGATGGATGGGTGGAATGAATAATTGGATAGATGAATGGTTGGGAGGGTTAAATGGGCGGATATGAGTTGTTGGAAGGATGGGTTCAAACAAAAATGCTAACCTGGCTCTTTTTGTTCAGCAACAAATCTGCCAAGGACTGGACATCTTTTCCTGATAATTTCTGTTGCTTAAGTTCCGTACAACCAAGAACATCAGTTACAGCCTGTCAAATGTAAAATTATCACAGTTATGATGCACTGTGTGTTAATTACATTTAGAGAGTGTTTGCATTACTGACTCAAGCATGAAGCCTGAGAAAATGCTTTGTCCAGTAACAATTCGTTCAGTTCAATTATGTTGGAGAGATGCAAAACTGCAATATGCATAAAATTAGCCTCATTAGCATCATTGATGATCTAACCTTACTGACCCGACAATATTTCAATTTTCAATTTACTGTAAACAGAAATATATATATTCCCATCACAATAAAGACCCAATGAAATTGCTAAAAGACTCCAAGTCTTGCTCAATATTTTCTCAATCTGTTCTTCGGTACTGTAAAATATTATGTTGAGCTATGCTTTCCTGCCATAACTTTGGAATGTTGTCATAAATCCATAAACAGCAGACAAGTATTCCGGGAGGGGGGGGTGGGGGGTACACTTACCCATTTAGGGTAGAGATGTGCCGCTGAGCCCTGACCCTGTTTCAGAGTAAAATCACTGAAATTCATACCCTGTTCCAGAGCAWGATYGCTGAAAATYATAMCCTGTTCYGGTATTGCGAAAATGGATACCCTGTTCCAGAGGGGAGAGAGCGTGATTTCATATACCCTGTCCCAGAGCGAGCGCGATTTTATATACCCTGTTCCAGAGTAGAATTGCTGAAAACCATACCCTGTTTGGCAGCACGTACCTGTATAGCGAATATAAGTATATGTATATGTTTACTATTAAGTATTAATACTATGTTTACTATTAATAATAAAGCCATGGACTTTACATAGCCCACACTTAACTGATGAAAACATCAATTACAATGCTGTGCTCTATAACAGCAGTAACCTATGGATAAATTGAATCACTGTAAAAAGCTTTGTGAAACTGACGTTTCCAACGAAGGACTAACGTCCGAAAAGCCAGTTTCACAAAGCTTTTTACGGTGATTCAATTTATCCACAAGTTCCTGCTGTTATATTCAGAAACACTGATGCATTCCATGCTAGTACTCTACTAGTTATCACTGCTTTAGATATAGTGCAGTATATATCTTCAAATCTGATATTAGGGAAATATCAACCAAAAGCAAGAATTATTTGTACAGACTGAGACTTTGACTAACCTGTAAGATGTACTGCTTGTAAGCTGCTTTCATCTTCGTTACCATAATGTAGGGTGAGAGGGGATAGTAGACAAGATATACCTTATCCTTAAATGTGGATTGTGAAGTTTTATTTTCTAAGAACGCCAGATGGATCCACAGTGCATTGTTGTAAAGCTGGACACAAACATCCTGCATCAGACAATAATTACAAACGTTTAGAAAAACAATAGAAGTGGGGTAATATCATTATTGGGAATCAAGGGAATGCACTTGTCCTTCAAATCTGGTAACTTCTCCCTGGTTTGATTCCTGGACTCAGCATCACACATGAGTATACAGTTTAATAAGTCTTTTGCAACAACAGGTCGTGTGACCCTACCCCCCATAAAAAGAGACGTTGTGTCAAAGTGAACACCAAAATGGAGCATTACCACATTAAAGTATAGCTGTAGTTTTGAGCAGATTTGGGTTTCAAAGTTCTTGGGATCTGTTAATCCACTGCCTCTAGCTCTCTCAGGATCTATAAACAAAGGGGATATTTGGATATTTTTGAAATTAAATATTTAAGATAATCATGGAAGCAAGGCTGGTTCTAGCTGCTTAATTACTACAATTTTCATAAACATGCAACCTCTGTGTCTCCGAGTTGCATGCTGAAATTTGGTTTTTTGCTGCCGCCAGTCAAAAATATGAAAGGTACCGACTGATAAGGTTTGATTGATGGCGGTGAAAAACCAAATTTCTGCATGCAGCTGGAGACACAGAGTTTGCATGTTTCTTGCATTAACACTCTATTAAAGGGGTTTGAACTGTCATTTCATTTAGTCTAGAGAGCTCTGGAGCCTCTTTTTAATTTTGTTACCTATGTATGTGGCAAAGATTCCGAATCTGAGTCAATCCCTTTGAGAATGCAATGATGAGGTCAATAAAGTTCGTATACGAAGAAAAGATTATTAGGAAAATGTTATGCCCAAGGTTAGAGGTCTGTTGAATTGATGCATAGAAACCTCAAATAACATACCAAACCCTGACAATAAAAAGACATCCCATTCCTTGGTTTTAGGGTGAAGTTGGTGATCTGAAAATAAGATAATTAATACAAGTATATCAGCAATGATTTAGCATCTCAATCAATCAATCAATCAATCAATCAATCAATCAAACATCAAGCAATCATCAATCAATCTCAATCAATCAATCAATCAATCAAACCATCAACTAAAGTCATTAGCAGTGGGGTCCTATGCATAACAAGATAAAAGGTTAAAAAAACTAGGGTTGGATTCAGAGTGAAATTATAGAGGTACAAAAATGGAAGGTACTTTATGTCACATATACAATATGAAAAGCCAGGTGTAAACAGATCAGACTATTGTGTATGGGGAATGGTGATTTCATGACCAAACTGATCCCAAAGAACCCTTAGACAATGGACTAAACATCACATATGACTAAGAAAAGCTTCGTTGGTGCAGTGCTTAGTGCTCCCGGCTTTGGTGTGGGAGGTTCTGGGTTTGATTCCTGGCTCATTCCAAAATCGAGGTGTCAAAACCTGGCTCTTAACATTGGGGATTGTGAATCCCTCTGGGCTTGGATGACTACGTTAAATGACGGTCCCGTCTCAATAAAATTGGAAGTAAAAGAACCACTGAGTAATGCAACAAAACCCTGGCTGTGGCCACTCTCAGTGTCAGCAATTGAGGCCGGCTTGAAGTATAGTACCCAAGCTATTGGTGAATGAGGCCTCAAAAAAGGGCATTACAACCAGTAAGTCCAATGGTACTGAATATGAGTGCTGGAAATGCAGAAAGCATAAACAGGAAAGAAATGTGGTCACACTATCATGGAAACATGAACCAAAAAACAATATCGTCAACTCTACATCCAAGGTCTCATGGTGCAGACATTGTTTAGGTATTTAAGAAATGAACATGAAGACATTCTTATTACTCAATCATTCCTTTTGCTTGTGCAATTACCAATCACTTATCACCATTAGCATTTTGCCCTTTCAATCTTTTTTGTAATAGCTGTAATTTCATGTTCTACTAAATATTTTGAGATTGCAGACTTGACTTTGCCTTTGACAGGGAATTAATCCATGTTAAATTTGAATGTGAATGAGGACGATTTTGTATCTGATTTAGACATCTCCCTGGTTGACTGATTTCTACAGTATTTTCCTCACCATTTATTCATAATATTCGATAAGCAAATATAACTATCATCATAAGTAATATTCTATTGCTATTTTTCAATCATAATCCCAAGTACCCTGCGAGCAGAGGTTTTTTTTCTGACCCTCCTTAGAGCTGGCTCCAAGGAGGGTCAGAAAATAAACCTCTGCTCGCAGGGTAAATTCCAAGAGGAAAATGCACCTATGAATGGTAAATTAACTGGACCCGGTTGTAGGAAGGGTGGATAGCACTATCCAGTGGATAAATTTATTGGATAACAGCGTCGATTTATCCACTGGATAAGGATTTATCCATGGAAGAGCACTATCCACCTAACATTTGATTGTTCGACACAGTTGATGGGAAGAAAACTTAAAAGAACAAAATCAAACAAGCAATTGAATCAGCACTAGTAAAAATGTTTAACTTGAAGATCATAGTTTACTTACAAATCAAATCCAATACGGCAACTTGTTTATCGGACAACTTTTCGCACAGGAGTTTTAAAATTCGACTGACGCTTGCTGATTTTGTTGCAGTTGTTCTTTGAAAACCTTCGTCTAAAAATCCTCTATCTAATAAAACGTCTATAAGTTCATCTTTCTTGAACTTGTTAAAAAGCTTTTTGAGGGCATCGCGATGCATTTTAAAAAATAAAAAAGATTTTTTTGCTCTCCAATAAAAAATACTGTTATCTTTTGTCCGCCATTTTCGAAAACTACCGCCAAACATATCAAAATGACCAATCAGAATAGAGGATTGGAGTTTACCCACAAGGCCTCACGAGTTCTGATTCCACAGGCAACCCAACAAGAGAGCACGGCAAATGCGCGCACGTATGAAAGCATTTACGACAGCATTTACAGCAAATTTATGGGACGGATTAAAAACATATGTAATTTTTTACTGGGATACCTTTTGCTTATTACACACAGAGAATATGTTCGTTTTCTCTTGATGTCATCATTCGTATCATCATATATCGTTATTCATTAAATACAGGCAAGATGAGAGATGCGCTGTCTTAGATAAATTTTGAGAAAGCCTTGACTGACCTGCGTCCTGCGCAAACGTTGTCAACGCCCAAATGTACAATCAAGTAATAAGGTTTCTCAAACTGCTCGCACTAGTGAGCGCTATCAGAATTCGTCTGAATGTTTTTTCTTTTTCTTCTTCTTCTTCTTCTTCTTCTTCTTCTTCTTCTTCTTCTTCTTCTTCTTCTT